TGTCCACCTTAGTGGTCCAGGAGTGCCATAATTGGCTTAACCTGGTTGATATGGCGAATGCGGATGCAGACACGGTTTGGTTCCTGGTCTACCCAATTTCCCAGGTTGGGCTGGTCGGCAATGCGCTGGAGAACTGTGTCCAACAGTTCTCTGCTGCCCAAGCACAGATGGAGGCCATCCAGAAAATCCTCCCCCGGCGACCCGCTGCTTCCCTCTGCAGCAGTCTCCAACCAGGCCTCAGCATGAAGCCGGCTGCAGTAGGGACGCCCAGAGCATTCTGGAGCGGGCCGCCCAGGATGGAGGAGGATACTCTTGGATTTCCACTCCCTCCCCCCAGGTGAGGGCCGGGTGGAGTCTTTGTTGGTGTGTGTGTTCTGTTTCACCGCTTGCTCCCAAAAGAAGTAGAGCAGTGGTACCCACACTTCCAAGCAAGAGCAAATTCCTCTGTTCCTGGGTTCCAAGTGGGGAAGTCTGGTGGTGTGCAACCCTGTAAAGCCTTGCACCCCTCAACCCCCTTTTGTTCACCAGCACGGCAGCTGGGTGCAGTTCGAGGATCCGGTCATCTGCCTTCTCACACATCCCTGGCTGTCTCGTGGAGACAGGAAAGTGCCATGCATCACACTCTGACCCTTCCGAGTCAGATCCCTGTCCTCCACCTTGCTGCCCCACCATGGGTATGTCTGCCATCAGACTCGGTTGCGATTCAGTTAGTTGGCTTCCGCCCTGGCTCAGTCATATCATTGATACCTAGGTGTTGAGCTAAGATGCTCCTAAAGTTAGTGATATTCATCACACCCACGTGTTGAGCATTGCTCCTGTCCTGTGTGCACACATCACAGTCCTTCTGGAGAAGGATGTGATGTGGCTTTTTCCTCAGCTGATATGATAACCGGTTTCTATAAACCCTTATTTCTTTGTACCTTAGAGTGGTGGGTTATGGCCATCTTTGACCTGTGTTAAATTAAATGGGCCCTTTTTCTAATGCCTTCGTTCAGTTGCTAACACAGATGCATTTCCAAAGGCTCCGTTCCTAAGGCTCCAAAGATCGCTCCGCTCCACAGATCATTCTGTGTTCGGTTGGTGTTATTTAGAATTGAGAAAGGGTTCCACTGAAAGAACTTTCAGAGGCTCCTGGGGCAAATGGCAGACGCACACTTTGTTACATCGCAGTCAAAAATAATACAAAAAACAATTAATCAAATATATAAATTTTAATACTCTGCACTTTTCAAATTAAGGCATATTTTAAGGGGTCCCTACATCTGTATTCAAATTAGGCCCGCATCCCACTTTAGGGGAAGCAGAGCATGTTTTTAATGCTGTTAGCAGCTTTAACCTGAAATCAATACCTACAGGCTATCATGAGTTTTTATAGTTAAAAAAACTAAATAAAAAAATAGGAACTAATCTGAACTAATAACTTTTTTTCTCATCTAAGGAAGTTAATGTTATTGCACTGCCATGGCTAGAAAAGCATGCATGCAAGCATCTTTATTAAAGTGAATTAGTGTTAATCTCTCTCAGGCGTAAATCCTACATCAACAAAAACCTATGGTAATTTTAAGCATGATAATAAACATAGAAATGCATGGCAAACATTGCATGTTGCCAATATTTTTGAGAAATCCGCAGGCTAATGCTAATGAATACAATTTGTGTCATACTGGAAACATTTTCTGGTGTTTTTCGAATACAGCCAATGCCATGACTGCTTCTTTGTTCTTCCATTCATAGAAATAAGGAAATTATCTTTGATTATGGCGGGGAGGGGAAATTACGTATTCATGGATATCTAAAATAGAGCAACCACATGCAAAATAATTTGCTCTAGTCATAATGACGTTTGAGATATCTTTAACTTTCATTCTGCCTAGTCAAAACTGAATTACAGATATCTGCAATTGTCATTTAAGATGTGTGACGAGTTGAATGTTGTTTTCTATGACGTCATTGCAGATATCTGTTATTCAGTTTTTCCTAGTCAAAACTGAATTACAGATATCTCCATCTGTCGTTTCGACTAGTCACAATTGTGTTACATATATGTTAAATGATAATACAAACTGTCTAAAATGTAATTACGACTAGTAAGATAGACGTTGTTGATATCTACAATGTTAATTCTGGATAGTAAAACTTAGCTTTTAAATGTTGAAAGGGCTTGCCATACAGGGATGTAGGCTCAGAGAGAGGCTCACCATATTCAAACCAAAATATCTGACTTTCTGTTGGTCGGAGCTAATGAATGTAAATTAGAAAGTTATCCGGCTCGATGAGTACAATATACGTACTGAGTTTTTCTAATGTACAAACCCGATTCCAAAAAAGTTGGGACACTGTACAAATTGTGAGTAAAAAAAGAATGGAATAATTTAGAAATCTCATAAACTTATATTTTATTCACAATAGAATATAAATGACATATCAAATGTTGAAAGTGAGACATTTTGAATTGCCATGCCAAATATTGGCTCCTTTTGGATTTCATGAGAGCTACAAATTCCAAAAAAGTTGGGATGGGTAGCAATAAGAGGCCAGAAAAGTTAAATGTACATATAAGGAACAGCTGGAGGACCAATTTGCAACTTATTAGGTCAATTGGCAACATGATTGGGTATAAAAAGAGCCTCTCAGAGTGGCAGTGTCTCTCAGAAGTCAAGATGGGCAGAGGATCACCAATTCCCCCAATGCTGAGGCAAAAAATAGTGGAGCAATATCATAAAGGAGTTTCTCAGAGAAAAATTGCGAGTTTGAAGTTATCATCATCAACAGTGCATAATATCATCCAAAGATTCAGAGAATCTGGAACAATCTCTGTGCATAAGGGTCAAGGCCGGAAAACCATACTGAACATGGGCTCAAGAATACTTCCAGAAAACATTGTCAGTGAACACAATCCACCGTGCCATTCACCGTTGCCGGCTAAAGCTCTATAGGTCAAAAAAGAAGCCATATCTAAACGGGAACCAGAAGCGCAGGCGTTTTCTCTGGGCCAAGGCTCATTTAAAGTGGACTCTAGCAAAGTGGAAAACTGTTCTGTGGTCAGACGAATCAAAATTTGAAGTTCTTTTTGGAAAACTGGGACGCCATGTCATCTGGACTAAAGAGGACAAGGACAACCCAAGTTGTTATCAGCGCTCAGTTCAGAAGCCTGCATCTCTGATGGTATGGGGTTGCATGAGTGCGTGTGGCATGGGCAGCTTACACATCTGGAAAGGCACCATCAATGCTGAAAGGTATAGTTTAAGAACAACATATGCTCCCATCCAGACATCGTCTCTTTCAGGGAAGACCTTGTATTTTCCAACAAGACAATGCCAAACCACATACTGCATCAATTACAACATCATGGCTGCGTAGAAGAAGGATCCGGGTACTGAAATGGCCAGCCTGCAGTCCAGATCTTTCACCCATAGAAAACATTTGGCGCATCATAAAGAGGAAGATGCAACAAAGAAGACCTAAGACAGTTGAGCAGCTAGAAGCCTTTATTAGACAAGAATGGGACAACATTCCTATTCCTAAACTTGAGCAACTTGTCTCCTCAGGCCCCAGACGTTTGCAGACTGTTATTAAAAGAAGAGGGGATGCCACACAGTGGTAAAAATGGCCTTGTCCCAACTTTTTTGAGATGTGTTGATGCCATGAAATTTAAAATCAACTTATTTTTCCCTTAAAATTATGCATTTTCTCAGTTTAAACATTTGATATGTCATCTATGTTGTATTCTAAATATAATATTGAAATTTGAAACTTCCACATCATTGCATTCTGTTTTTATTCACAATTTGTACAGTGTCCCAACTTTTATGGAATTCGGTTTGTAGATAAAACTAATCCCCTCACTTTTGACAAAAGGTTGCACTACTAACCCCTTCTCCATGATCGTGTCTGAAACTTTGCACATGTCTACTGGCTAATAAGTGTAATGTATCTGTTGAGTTTCATGCAATTTCAAGCATGTTGAGAGTCTCGAAAAGCGTGGCATTGCCACGGCAAGAGTATCTAAGATATGAATAATTTTTTCACAGGTCTACATCTGCCGTGTGTTTACATTATACACATAAGGTTTGAAGCAAATCGGGTAAAAATTAGAGGGTGATTTCAAAGCATTTTGAAAGTGACATACTTCCTGATGCCAGTTGGTGGCGCTATAAATTTGACTCACAATAGTCACGTCCATGTGATTGGTCTCTTACAACAAACACACTGCTGAAGTTTCACCAAGATCAGTTAATGTATAAAGAAGTTATAACACACTTTCTGTTTCACGTTTCTCGCCAACATTTCGTTTCCTTGCCACGGCCAAACCGTTTAATTTTTGCAATTTTTCATCTTCAATGTCTTGAATTCATGCTGGCCAAGTTTTGTAAAATTTGGAGCAATACTCTAGGAGAAGTACTTTAAATTCCAATGCGTGCGTTTTCCACACAACCCTTAATAGACGACTTGGCCTGGTGTAAAACTTAGAGCATGAAAGTTGAGATCTATATGTGTACCGAGTTTCATATTATTACATGCAAGCGCGTTTGCTTTATGGACCAAGTTTTCGGACTCAGTTCCGGGGCTGGGGGGTTGTGCCCCCCTGCCACGCCCAGGTACCAGCTTCAGCTTTCAGGGCGCAAAGTTTCAAGACTTTTTGAGCACGTTAAGGGCCCCAAAATGCCAAAAAGTTAGTAAAATAATAATTTTCCTAAGGAAAACAATAGGGCTCTGCGCCTTTTCAGGGCTTGAGCCCTAAAAAGCTTTGCTTATGCACAAGTAAAATAATGTGATCAAACATTCAAATGTTTGGCAATTAAAAATGTGTGAAAGTGATAAAAAATGTTTGCGCTGGCTGGCAACTTAATGGCAGGGAAAAAATAAATGGCATTTCAGACTCCGTTTGTACCCTTTATGGAATGGAAAATGAATAATTTACTAAATATTAATTTATTAAAAAGCTTTCATTCAAATTGTCTGACATGATTTGGATCCCGATATTTACCTTTTAAACCTAGATGGAGATGATGATGGAGAAAGCAGGAAGTCGCCACTTGGTGGAAGTCCTGACGTATCCCGGGGCTGGTCATCTTATTGAACCACCATATTCACCTCACTTTCGTGCAACTAACTTCAACCTTTATTTGACAAAACAGAAAGGTAGGCACCGTGCGCATGCATAATCAAATTGTCTAATTTTCATATTTGATTTTTTTTATTGGCTTAATGCCAGTTCTAGATTTTATTTGTGATTGTGTGTGTGTTTTACATCTGTTTTACATGGTGTTGTTGCAGTTGTCATGCTATGGGGTGGACAAACCCAGTCACATGCGTATGCACAAGAGGACTCATGGAATAAGATATTAGCATTTCTGCGGGAGCACCTCTGCTTCAATGAAACACTGCATTAAAGAAAAACATCTAGATGTGTCATTTCAGCTCAGTAACTTCATTTTAAGTTAACCCCTTTACATCTAACAGTTTTAAATAGTTTTTTAAATTGATGACATGATGATAGATGTTCTATTGATGGCCAGCATAAGGATAAATGGGTTTGATTTTTATATCATTTTAGTTCACAAATGAGTTTATGGAGAGATGCTTTTCTTTTTAAGATTGTACGGTTTTGTTTGTGTGCACTTTCTTCTATGTGGACTGACATTAACCCAGATGAACAATCAGTAGAAAGCAGATACACACAATACATCACCCAGTGTTTATGTTACTGTGACCATTTAGCCAGATATGTAATGTATTTAGGGCTTCAAGAAAGAATCGATAAATATTAATACGAATAATGTTTATTAATTGTTTAAAGCTGCAGTCTGCAGTTTTTCCTCTTTGTCGTCATCTCTGTTTGAAATCTGCAATTGCAGTTATTTACAGAATTATCAACTTTAAAAGAGATGTACTTTGACACCCTCAACACGGCACAGCGCAGATGAACACACTGTTTGAGGAGACTGTGAGACTGCCAGTCACCGCGCCGGTGTGGATACTGTCATTCAGAAAGGAAGTATGAGCAAGCTAATAATCTTCACCGGAAAATATCATCTAGTATGAACTAGTAAGAAACATCCAATTTTGTTCTGGTTCTGACATTGCAGTAAATCGCACTGATTAAAGCTAACAATTGCTTATCATATCACGCAAAACTGTGCAAATTATACTTTGTTCTCAAATTGTTAATGTTAACAACGTCACAGCATTGAGTGACTACATGTAATGTCCTTTCGACATGTGTCCTTCCTTGTTTTCGCATGGGTCCGGTTGAAGTCTCTTTTTTTCTGTAGCCACTCTGAAGGCCGAACAAAGTCTTTTGCATTTTACAGCAGGTGAATTTGTTGTCACTGGTGATTGTCGTTTGAACCTGGATCCGCCATCAAATTGATAAGTTTAATTATATCAAGTACTATGAGAAAAGGCTATAAATCTCCACCTCCAGCATCCTCACACGCGATATAGCCTACTAGCTGAGACTCTTCTTTATGTGTACAGATGTGCCGTAATGACTCAATATAGCCTACTAGCTGAGACTCTTCTTTATGTGTGCAGATGTGCCGTAATGACTCAATATAGTCTACTAGCCGAGACTCTTCTTTATGTGTACTGGTGTGACGTAATGACCCAATATAGTCTACTAGCTGAGACTCTTCTTTATGTGTACAGATGTGATGTAATGGCTCAATATACCCTACTAGCCGAAACTCTTCTTTATGTGTACAGATGTGACGTAATGACTCAATATAGCTTATACTAGCCAAGACTCTTCTTTATGTGTACAGATGTGATGTAATGACCCAATATAGCCTACTAGCCGAGACTCTTCTTTATGTGTACAGATGTGATGTAATGACTCAATATAGCTTATACTAGCCAAGACTCTTCTTTATGTGTACAGATGTGATGTAATGACCCAATATAGCCTACTAGCCGAGACTCTTCTTTATGTGTACAGATGTGACGTAATGACTCAATATAGCTTATACTAGCCTGTAATGACGCAAATATATGCTTGAATCTCCCGCGGAAATCTATCTACCAGTACCACTGGAATTAAAAACATTATTACAAGCTTACCGCTTTGAATCGAGTTAAAGGGGTCATGAACTGGCTTTTTAAATTTTATTATATTGTTGTCTGAGGTCAATTTATGACGTTCGCTTGGTTTTTGCATTCAAAAACATCAAAATGAATAAGTAATAGGCTATTTTGTACCCAAGTTGTGAGCCTTCCTGAAAAACGGTCGGTTTTTATGGGCGTCTCGCACTGAAGACTTGGAAATAAACGCCCACTGGTGTGAGTGGATAACAGTTTTGCATATTATAATGAGTTTAACTCACCCGTCGGAGTACGTGGGGGAAAACGTCCAATGTTGTCAAATGACAACCGGATTCGCCCACATGTTCGACCCAGAGTCCGTGTGTTGCACAATTCCTGTCAGATCAATATAGACGGCACAGCACCGTTCTTTACTGTTAATCGGTCTGCAAATCCAGTCTTGTTTACAAAACAATCCTCAGTGAAATGAAGCGAACAGACTACGATGTTTTACCCTCATCAGCTGGAACGTCATTAAAAATAAAGTTTATCCATGCAGTCCTATTGGAATCCAGAGGAAGCTTATGCAGCGACTCTCTTCCACAACCAGGCACTGCAAAATATTCTGTATTGCTCGGTAGCTCGATCCGGTTTGTCATCACGAGGTAGGCATGTATGTTAGGCTACTTAGCTATGCGTGTAATGCGCAAATCGGTGGGCGGGGCTAAACCGGCCGCGTTGAAGCAGGCGTTGATCTTCTTCTGCGGGGGTGATGTTTTATCCTCTTCGACGTCATAGTTTTCCACTTTGAAAAACGAGACGTTTTCAGAGGCTGGTGTCAATAAAAGCTTTTTTGGACTAACAAGGACGTTTTCAGTTCTCAAACTTACAGGATATTCTTATAATATGATGACCTCTTAGATGTCAAAAGCTCAAGGAAAATTTGATTTCTCAGTTCATCACCCCTTTAATGTTGTCAGGGTCTGTTTTATTGTGGTTTCATGTTTCTTTGTTTGTTTTGTGTTTGAGCACATGACTCTGTCTTGGTCTGTGTTTGCCATGTGCTCCTCATGTCCCGCCTCCTGGTTTCCTGTTACCACACCCCCCTTTTTCAGTCCACGTCTTGTCCTCGTTTCACTAATTGGGCTCACCTGATCATGTTCTCTTGTCCCTTTATATTGTGCCTCGTTCCCTCATGTCTTTGCTGGTTTGTCTTGTGTACTGTATGGTTAATCCTAGCCCTTGTTGTAATATTGACCTTTCTAGCTTTAGTGTATCATTTGCCTTTTTTCCTTGTCATGTTCTAGTTAGTATTATTTTTTTTCTCCTTTGATTTTATTTATATTCTAGAATATCGTGTCTAGTTCCCTGTCAGTTTGTTTTCCATTTTGATTGTTAGTTTCAGTCATTTTTATTCCTAGTTCTTTTGTTTGGCTTCACTAGTCATTATTTTGCTTCAGTCTTTATTTTATATTTCCTAATTTATTACTTTCTTTTCTTGCTCTGTTATCTTGTTGTGTCTTGTCTTGTTCATTGTGAGTCTTGTGTTTGTCCATGCCCTGCAACCCATGTGTTTCAGCTAACAGATCATCAACCCTCTGGTTCACTTACGAGAGGTTCTCTTGTATTGCGTACGCTAGCTTTTTTTAAAAGATGCCTCGCACACCTGCGGCTCATGCCGCGCCCCTCTCAGCGTCGGAGCCATGCAGAGCTCTCTCTCGCCGACGGCGGATGTTACCTCTGCGAAAAGGCTTGCTTGTCGACCCTGCGTGCTCGACTCGAAGCGTTAAAGCCGCCGCCCCCTCTCACCTCTCACAAGCTGCCTTGCCGTCACACTGTATGTGGGACGAGCCGTTTACAGCTGTGCCAACCGCGGCTAGCTTTCTTTACGTTACAAGAAAGGGTAACGCCCGTGCACAAATGGGTTCACGCCCTCTTATCGGTTCGCGTTATTAAGCTTGTGTTTTTACCCCTGTGGCTCAGTGGTGAAACACAAAGCTTTTCACGCCAGAGACCCGTGTTCGATTCCGGCTCTCGCAGGAATCTTACGTGATAGAAAGCGGCCGTACTCTCCCGTGCACATGCGTCAGCAGCGACATGAGAAACGAGTGTGTTTTTAGCTCCATCTCTAACGTTTCTCATTCCTCGTTCGAGTGGCCGAAAATGTCTATATTGCAGCAACGAGCCTGTCATAATATGCACGCCTGCTATGACGCCGACACACAAAGCTTGACGCTTATCTGTTTAAGTGTAGGTGCCCAGACCCCCGTGCTCACCCATACAAAAACACAGCATTCCCGTGTCTAACAGAGCCCACTCTCTTTGTTGTGAATTCTCTCCCTTTAGAAATTGAGCTGGTTACATGGGTGATGTTTTAAAGGGTAGTTCACCCAAAAATGAAAATTCTGTCAGTATTTACTCACCCTCATGTTGTTCCAACCCCGTAAGACCTTCGTTCATCTTCGGAACATAAATTAAGATATTTAAGATAAGATCGCTCCTGCATACAGTCCGTAGGCTTCTTGAGGGACTGGCTCTTGCTGTCCCCGAAAAGTCATTAAAGACATCGTTAAAATAGTCCAAGTGATTACAGGGGCTCAATCTTAAGTCTATCAAACGACGAGAACACTTTTGTGCGCAAAAAAACAACAAAAATAACGAAAAGTTCTCCCTCTGCGCGAGTCAGGTTACTAGTTTAATAGCGTAAGCTTCTGTTATTGTACGTCACACGCATCACACACACATGACCAGCGTCGGCCAATAGTGAGCCTACGTGTGACGTAGCTCTACGCAATCACACTACGTTAACTGACTACAGGCCCATGGAGAAGGAAGTGAATAGTTGAAATAAAGTCGTTATTTTTGTTGTTGTTTTTTTTGCGCACAAAAGTGTTCTCGTCGTTTGATAAACTTAAGATTGAGCCCCTGTAGTCACTTGGACTATTTTAACGATGTCTTTAATGACTTTTCGGGGACAGCAAGAGCCAGTCCCTCAAGAAGCCTACGGACTGTATGCAGGAGCGATCTTAATATCTTAAATATCTTAATTTGTGTTCCGAAGATGAACGAAGGTCTTACGGGGTTGGAACAACATGAGGGTGAGTAAATACTGATAACGTAGTGTAGCGTTCTCAGAATGTACAGACTCAGTGTAATTGCCTATTCACTAAGCTACACGAGTTGAGAGATCACACGCGTTCATGTGCAGTGTTCATGTGCAAGAGAAAGTTTATGACAAAGTAAGTTTCCTTCTATGTATATTGTTAATAGTGCAGTTGAAATACAATGTGACGATCTGTGCTGAGTTAGATAATGTTTGTTATGTTTAGCGATCTTTCTAATGGTAATTTGATCCTGCTTAACGAGCAGA